AGTTGCATATGCGGCCAACTTAATTAGTTTACCCCATTTTTGCAGTCTTGCTCACATTTAGTAAACTTTTTTAGTATTTCAATGACTACTCAAAATTCTATTTAGATGATAGTAATGAGAAATCCTACGGTGTTATTATGGATGCAGGCTCTACGGGCACAAGACTTTTCCTCTACACCTGGACGAGTAACTCAGGTGCGTATTTGGTCGCTTCAAAACCACCAGTTTAGTTTCTTCCGATCCTTGTTTTACGTATATCGTGATGAACCGTTTTTTTTTTCTTTGGAGGTCTCAATTGTGGGAATCTAACTGATCTCGCGGTCAGCTGTCAAAAAAGTCTTACGCGATTCCCGTTAAAAAATTTTTTTAGCGCAGTTTTGCCATTTTCTGTGTGTTGTTAGTTGTAGTCAATATGTGTTGAAGACGAAGCTTATTACTAAAGAGTATCTCTTTTGTCATTTTTCTATCCTAGTTTCGAATTTAATTGAATCAATACATTTAGGTAGAAAAAAGATCATAATGCGTTACATTATTGCATTCATTAGCTATATTTTATGTCATATGTACCTGCCTAATTAGTAACTAAAATTTCCAACATCATGTTCATGTCTATGCGGAGTACTTCTGCTCGCAAAAATCAATTTATAATTTAGTTTTGGCTTTCTAAACCGATAGCTGCATTTTGTAGCTCATTATGTATGTTCTAGATAAAGAGCTTATCAACATAGCTCCAGCGCTCGATCATTTGAATAGCCCTGTTGTCAAAAAGGTCAACCCAGGATTGAGTTCATTCCAGGATCATCCCTATGACGCAGCCGGTATGCTGTAATCGTCATCAAAACTAATAACCAAGTAAAATGAGCTGTACTTAAATAAAAGGTGTTCTAGAATATGTAAAACCATTGCTTGATTACGCATCGCAGTTTATACCTCATGATAAACTACCGTATACACCGGTGTTTCTACTAGCAACGGCAGGAATGCGGCTTGTACCAGAAGCGTGAGACCACTAGTGCATTATTTCTTCCACTTTGTTATCGTCGTTATGCACAAAAAAAT